CAACCAAATTTGAAGAAATGCTAGAACCAAATGAAATGGAATTATCAGATAAAATCGATCCAGAAGAATATGAAGATAAAGACCTGATTGATCAATCTCTTTACATTGTTAATGAAGAACTGAATGATCAATCCATCTTACAGATAAAAATTCAAGAAGAATCAATAAAAATAAATGATGAAACAATTGATCAAATCAAAATTGAAAGAATTCGTGGAGAATGCCTGGAAGATTACCATGAATGCAAACATGATCAAAAAGATCTTAACTGATATCAATGTACTAAAGAACAGCAAATACACAATCAATTGAAAATTTGCTCACAACTGTCATTAAATGCAACAACCATCTCAATTGATTCAGACATAAGTTCAGTACAACAAGAACAACTTAACCAACTCCTAGTTGAATATAATGATCTCTTCACCAATGAACCTGGCCGTATCAACATGATACAACATGAAATCCATTTGGAGGAAGAATGATCCATTACCCTACGTCTGTATTATCAAAAATCACCCTTGGAAAATGCATTCTTAGAGGATGAAATACAAAAGATGTTGAACAATGAAATAATATCCCATTCAGATAGTCCTTGGTCTGCTTCCGTAATAATAGCACACAAAATTTTGATTATGTGTCGACTACCGCAAATTAAACAAAATCACTAAAAAAAATCGATACCCTCTTCCAAGAATCGACGAATTGTTAGATTCATTTAAGAACGCTAAATACTTTACTATAATGGATCTCGCAAGTGGCTTTTGACAAGTCAAAATACACCTGAAAGATAAAAAAAAGATAGCATTCATTACCAATCAAGAATTGTTCTATTTCAATATCATATCATTCAGCCTAACTAATGGTCCTGCCACTTTTCAAAGACTAATGAACTGAATATTTAAAGAATACACTGGAAAATTTATCATTGTTTATTTGGACGATGTCACAATATATTCGGAAACATTTGATGAACACCTACAACATATTCGGAAAGCCTTGGACAAACTTTGACAAGCTGGACTACGATTACAATCAGACAAATGCCACTTCGCCAAAAATTAACTTCCTTTCCTAGGCTATATCATCAGAAAAGAAGATATTCGACCGGATCCAGCAAAGATTGAAAAAGTTAAAGAATTTCCCATACCTACCAATCTTACATTATTACGCGGTTTCGTTGGTCTCGTCTCATACTACAGATATTTCATCAAAGACTTTGCAAAGATAGTAGCACCACTCCACAAACTATTCAAGAAAAATCAACCTTATATTTGAACAGAAAAGCAACAGAAAGCATTTGACACATTGAAGCGGCATCTTATTTCACCACCCATTATCGCTTATCCAAACTTTTCACAGCCATTCACTCTATTTATTAATGTCTCTGGACTCAGTTTAGGAGCTGTGTTAGCTCAATATGACAGCGAAGAAAAAGAACACGTTATCGCATATGCAAGCAGAAGAATGTCGACAGAAAAACAGAAATATAGCACAACCGAATTGGAATGTTTAGGTGTGATTTGGGCCGTAAAACTCTTCCGACCTTACCTCTTATCAACCATACCTTTTACTATCATCACTGACTATTCAGCATTGACTTGGTTGATCAATAAACCAAATCCACCCGGAAGACTTGCATAATGGATAATTGCACTGCGAGAATATAACTTTAATATCAAACATAAACCTGGACGAATCCATTCGAATGTTGACCCATTCTTCTGAATACAACACACACCAGAAAGCGATAACACTATCAAATAAATTTGGAAAATTACGTCGATATTTATAATTATTTGAATTCTCTTACTATACTGGACAACTATACAAAGGATAGACGGAAATGGCTGCTGGCGGAATCAAAACGATACTTTATTAACTATTATAAATTATTCAAGCGGAACAAATCAGATGTTGAGCATCCACTACAAGTCATCAAATCAACGGAAGTAGAAAACATATTATTTAGTAATCATTCAGACTTAACTGCCAGACATTTTGGAATTGAAACGACATACAACAGAATAATGCGAAATTATTATTGGTCCCAGATATATCATGATATTGAAGCTTACATTAAGACATGTGATATTTGTCAACAGAAAGGACGGCTGCATAAAAATAATACTTTAACACCAATCACTGTAAAAGAACCATTTGAAAAAGTTGGAATTGATCTCATAGGTCCCTTACCAGTCATCACCAATGGAAATTGATATATTGTAGTCGCCATAGACTATTTAACCAAATGGGCAGAAGCACGAGTAATTGAAGACACATCAGCACAATCAATTATATCTTTTCTCTATGAAGATATTATAATGAGACATGAATTTCCACGTGAATTATTAAGCGATCAAAATACCACCTTTGTTAATGAAATCATCAAAGAACTTTTAGAAAAATATCAAATCAAACATCGATTATCTGCACTCTACCATTCTCAAACCAATGAACTCGTTGAAAGGCTAAATCGCACACTTTGTACTTCATTATCAAAGTTTGTTCAACTCTATAAGAAAGACTGGAATCATTATTTACCATCAGTTTTGTTTGCATATCGAACAATGAAACAAGATACAACAAAATTTGAATCTTTTCAGTTAGTTTATGGTCGTCAAGTCATCACATCACTCAAACTACAACTCAAAGATCTGGATAATGAAGAAATAATATCAATGGAAGAAGCCATTGTTAAGAGAGCATGCAAAATCATCGATGAATTGGAAGTAACACGTGAAACAGCTCTTAGTAACATTCATAAAGCGCAAATTAAACAAAAAGAGCAGTATGATAAAAAGAAAACACCAATCACATTTCAAATTGGACAAAAAGTTTTGATGAAAAGAATGGAAACTCAAAATTGGCATCACGAAAAATTTGGCGAAAAATGAAAAGGTCCCTTCTACATTCATAATATTTTCGATAAAGGTGCATATAAACTTCGTACATTGAATGAAAAAGTATTAAAAAACCCTTATAATGGTGATCATCTAAAGTCATATGTCGAATTTAACAAATTGGAACCAATTATTATAATCAATAATAATTGATTTGCGGAGCAAATCTCTTAAAGTCGAGGGCCCAGTCACCAATTCAAAATTGACTATAATTTCAAAAGAACACGTAAACAAAAGATGCGGCATGATAAAATTAGTCACTATGATATTTAGACTACGTAATTGGTTCGATAATATTCTACTCCCTTCTATTTCTTTCTATTTTTCCCTTTTTCTTTCTTGTATTATCTATTTTCTATATTTATCTTATATGAACATATTTATCACGTCATTTTCTTGACAAATTTCATAATTATCTATTTTAAGTTTAGTCTTTATTTTCTATTTTTGCTATTGATATTTAGATGTAGAACAAGATTATTAATTATAATATAGTTAAATTTCGTGTAATTTAAAAGAGAACCAATAATTTCATAGTATTAATATAGATTTACTGTATCACATGTTGTGCTGCAACTGCGTCATGCTGCACTATATTGTACATTACTGTATCACACTATGTCATTATAATACAAAAACATATATAAATACAAGTGCTAATAATTAATAAAAATCAAGTTCTCTCAGTTTGATTTAAGTTCTCTAGTTCATATTTTAAGTTCTTAAGTTTTGGTTTTGAATTTCTTTTGGTTTGACATATTAAATTGATCTATATTTGAAATTTTAAGTACTTTTTGGTTAAGTTTACCTTTTAGTTTAGTTTTGTTATTAGTTTAGTATCTTTATCACTTTTATCTTGTCAAGAAATATCATTTATCGTCACAAACACCATTTAGTTATAATATTCAAAGTAAATTGTCGTGAATATAGTCACTATTGCCATTTTGAAATACTTTCATATGCAAAACTCAAAACGGTAACACTATGAACTAGAATAATAATAAAATAAAAATTTATTATAATGAAGAAAATTTTATTATTTCAGTTACTATGTACAAGATCAAAAATAAACTCAAATTAATTTATTAAAATTTTAGCTTTTAATATTTGGTAAAATATTTTTAATAAATATTTTCATTCAAATTTAATTTGAATTTTGAATTAAATTTAAATTTAAATAAAAGCTTAATTTAATTCAGTTTATAAAATATTAACAAATAAAAATCACAAAATTAGTTTTTTATATTAAGATACATATAAAAAATAAAAATATAAATTAATAAAAATCTAATATAATTTAATTATAAACTAAGATTATATAAGTCAATACAAAAAAAATTCTATATTTCAAATAATTATTAATAAATTATTTTTGTAAACAAAATTTTGATTTTGTCTTATTTAATTAATTATTATATATTAGAATTAATTAAATAGATATATAATAGCAATTAAAAATAATACAATAATATTAAAATTTATTAATTAAATATAGTAAAATACAGATTTTTTTCTTTATATAAAAGTTTTTAATTTTACTAATAAATATTTTTTATTTTTACATTAAAATAAAAATAATGTCACATATTTTAACATATATTTTTTTCAGATTTTTTAGATTTAATCTAATAAAACTGTTTTAATTGCATATAAAATCAATTATTTTTTATAATTAAAACATATAAAAAAATAATTGACTTTATATATAATTAGAACAGCTTTATTAAATTAAATCTAAAAAATCTGAAAAAAATATATATGATATTATTTTTATTTTAATGTAAAAATAAAAAATATTTATTAGTAAAATTAAAAACTTTTATATAAAAAGAAAAATCTGCATTTTATTATATTTAATTAATAAATTTTGATATTGTATTATTTCTGATTGTCACCATATTTTAATATATATATTTTATAAAAAAATTTTTTACTAATATATAATAACTTTTTTGAATTTTTATTTCATAACTTTTATTATATTGTTAAATTTTGAGATTTAATTATGCAATAATTACTAAATTTTTATTAAATATATAGCAATATGTCTGCATAATTTGAAGTTCTAATATTGCAAATTAATAAAAATAATACTTAAAATATATTTTTTATTTTATTTTATTTTTTTAGAAAAGTATTGTTTCATTTATTATTGAATAAAAGTACAAGAAAATAATATAAATAATATAAATAATTAGTTTTACTTAGTATAAAAAATTATAGTTTAGTTAAATTTTGAATGATTTTTATTAAAATCAATTATTAATTTTAATTTTGAGGTACAAATCTTTTGTACCGACCCATATATTGAAAAAACTCGATTTTTTTAACAAAAAAAATATTAATAGAGAAATATTTTCTTTTTGAATTTTATTGCTTTAAAATTATAAATATTATTATTAATCTCAAATTTCAGCACTTATTTTAATTATATGATTTATTGTAAAGTTTGTAATATAACAATTTAATATTAATTTCATTCACAATTATCTAACTCTCTTAAAATGCTTTCGGAAAATGTTTCATGAAATTGATAGTTTTTAACAACAAATAACAATTATAAAAATATCTGTTCTATGGTGTATAACATCTACTCATCAAACATTTGTATTTTATAAAGTGGATAAACTTCTTTACTAAGAAGTAAATACAAATTTAATCCGTAAATATGCTCAGAAAGGGCTTATTCTATCATAATTACGGATTAAATTTTGTATTTACTTCTTAGTAAAGAAGTTTATTCACTTTATAAAATACAAACGTTTGATGACTTGGATGTTATGCACCATACATTTCACATTAAACGTGTTACATTTCATTGGTCTACATAATAATGATCACCACCCAAAAATATCCGGATCTTTTTGCTTTCGTCTGTTCAAGTTCTTTTGTTCTCTCTTTTAAGTTTATGCATCACGTTTCTAATCCATGCCTTTTACTTTGTTATCTGCGGAATTAGAGCTATGATTCTTTGCCCATGATGCATTTATCCCAGAAATTAGAGCTATCGATTCTTTGTCCCAAGAATTAAAGCTATCTTGATCTTTTTTTGCCTGACTATTTTGATTACTTTCACAGAAAAGTAAAAGGCATTGATTGATATATTTGTTTTTTAATTTTATTTTTGATTTTCCTGGTTTATTATCGAGTGATCATTGATTGGATAGAAATTTGGAGCTTTGTTGAATATTACGTATAACTTTTTCCCATAATTAAAAAGTAACTCGCATTTCATTACACTCTAAAAGATCGTTCACTTTGCTTCGTAGGTACCACAAAGTTACGAAATTTAACATGTTGAATTTACTGGTAAATTTTATTCAAATATACAATCATTGTGTTTCTGATTTGATCTCTTTAATTGGGTGATGGTTTACGTGTGTCAATGTACATATAAAGTTTTCGCTACCCAATCAATTGTATCGATACGATCTGAGGCAACAAGCAAAAAAGAATCATTGATCAACGAATTGGCGATTCGACTATATATACGATGTCTTTGTGTGTTTGTGTTTGTACGTGCCCTGCATATTCAAACAAATAATGTCTATCCGATTTTTCTTAACCTTTCTTGGATATTATCGTTATGCGGTGATTAACTGAACATACGCCTCTCAAATTAGGCATTCAAATAAAGTTGCTGCATTTAGAGGTTACCTAGTATATTTCTCGTTACATGCTCTTTTTCTACCATGTTTGGCATTTAGAATATTATAATACCAGAATATTTATAACAATGTAAATTTTATCTTTTCCATGTTTAGTACCAGTCAGACTTGGAGTTTTCTACGCTCGTTGTTGAGTAGGAGTACGGCAGCAGTACTCGTCTCCAATCTTTTATATAGCTCTCTTCTCGCCCCTTTCACGTTTTTTTCTGTGTGTGGTCTTAAGTAGTTAGTAGTAGAAAATTTTTTTGGAAGCAAAACCCGTTTTTTTCGAAAATTTTGGCAGAGCCAAGAAAAGCGACGTACATAAAGCCGCATAAATAAATAATACGTATATATATATATATAGAGTGGTTCTCGCTTTTGTACATATTCTAAAAATCCAAAAAACGCTGGCCGTTCGCCACATGCTTTTTCGCTAACCCGTTAAAATTATTGCTGATACACGGAAAGGTTGGAGTCTTTGCGGTGCAAACTCCTTTTCTATATATATATATATACACAATATTCGTAATATATACGTTACAACTTAAATATATATCTATAGTTTGTTAAAGTGCGATTTACCTTAGCAAACTATAAAGAGCTTAGAGTTTATTTTATTTCGTATTTCGTACGTTGAAAGGACAAAAAAAAAGGACACTTTACCTACAAAGTATTTTTGTGAAATGCCTCAAATTTCTCCACGCTTTTACGTGTTTTGTATATCAGCCTTGTTTCTTGTGAGTTGTTGTTTTTGTTATTGTTTTTGTTTGTTTTTGTTTGTTTTATTCTCTCTAAATTTGGTTTATTTTTTTTGATATAGTGTTTTGGAATAGCAGTCGCTGTGCTAACTTTCTCTGGAATAAATGGTAAATTTCAAGATATTTTAATCTTATCTGGCATTCTTCATTAATTAACTTTTAAATTATTTCAATAGTGACTACAATTCATATCACAGGCCCACTTCTGATATGTTATGCAGCCGCGTATCTTGTTTGCGCGCCGTCAGGCTTATGGGGGATCTTGGGTGCCAGCAAGGTATTTACTTGATCCACTTCGTAAATCGAAATCAAAATCGATTTATTAAAAAAATAATAATTGCCCCCTTAAAATAACTAGAACAACATGGTCTTATGTTCACGATACGTGCGCGACCACTGGTTCGCCACAGTATTCCTAAGTATAATTGAAGCGGTGAAATTAGTGTTCATATTCACGCTAAAAGATAAAACAATAGAGAATTTAATAGATCACAATGCACCATATGAAACCGAATATCCGCGTGCAGAGGATCGAGTTGAACTTGCACAAAAAGCGGCGATTGTTCAGGTATCGATCCAGGAGACGCTGTTGGTACGTGAAACATTTTTAGATTTTTATGATTTGTTTCGTTAGCGATTTTATTAAAATCATCTTAGTAACCGATGTAAAAATATAACAGATAGCGTCAGGTATAGTAGTACTATATAGCTACAGAAATCTTAGCAGTTCACACGCACCTGGAATTATGCTAGATCTAGAAGCTCCGAGATCTCGACCAGTTGATCGATCTTCAATAACGACAACTGAGCTATTTAATCAAAGAAACAATTTGGATATAGATCATATAGCAGATCGACCACCGTCACCTTTTATACATCGCCCAAAATTGGAAAAAGTGGAAGAGAGCGTGCTCGAATCAAATAAAATCCAACCACATCCCCCAGCATTAAAGCCTGCACCTAGTAATTCGAATATCTCAACAAATAAGATCCCGGGAATTCAGAGATCTTCAGAAAGAAATGATGGATCAAGAGACAGACAACAACAGAATCAATTACCGTTTCCACAACCAGCACCGCCAATAATATTATCAATACAGCAGCAACAACAACAATCACCGCCGCCTCTTCGACGTAAACGTACTCAGACATTTGGTAGTACACGTGATGCAGCACCACTTGATCCACCTGCAAGAAAATTGTCTAATAATATACAACAACAATCAAGAAGGAGATCAAAATCAACATCAGCCGTAACCGGTTTAACTGTACCAACTGTAATCACAACACCTCCAACTCCAAGAACACCGCCACCACCATCACCGTCTAATAATCAACAATTACCCCGTCTATCAAGAGAAGAAACACGAAATTCAATTTCCCATAATGAAAAATTTGTGCCTGGACATAGACGAACAAAAACTCATCCACAGAATAAACCTCTTCCTATACCACCTTCTGTTGTAATGATACCATCAGTGTCTACTCATCTAATATCACAGATTCCATCAAATCAACAAAGGAATCCCCCGTCACAAATTCCATCAAATCAACAAAGGAATCCCCCGTCACAAATTCCATCAAATCAACAAAGGAATCTCCCGTCACAAATTTCATCATCGAATCAACAGAGAAATTTATCATCGTCAAAGCGTAATTCTAAACGATTTTCACCGAGACTTTCCCCAATTCCAGAAGGGTTAAGAAGAACTTCATTACCCACCCAGATGCATAGCAATTATTCGGATCTTCGCCACTCTTCGTCACTTCCAAATCTACTAACACAGGATCAACCGTACTATGATTTATCTAATGCGCCACCTGTTCCTCCTCTCCCGCCTTATTTACAAACGGGTTCTTCTGCTCCTTTCAAACCATATAATGATAATAATATTTCATCAAGACAATCGCGCAATTATCAAAGAAACCAAAATGAACCTCAGAAATTGCAAATTTCAACAAATGATCGGTATGCTTCGCATTATGGTAATAGTGGTGATTCGCCAAGAAGCTCTCAATTTAAATACTCAGAGGTCCCCTTCAATCAAGGGCCATATCAAGGTAGAGATAATAATGTATACAGTAATACAAATGGCTATACGAGCTCTCCAAAAGTTCGGCCAAGATCAATGCACTCAACACTGGAGGAATTACGTAAAAATTCATGGTCTTCATCGAAATATTATAATAATCAACCTCAAAATAATTATCATCATCCGAATCATCAACGTGATTCAAATTATGGAGCCGGAGTAGCAGGAGGGGGAAACGTGAATGGGACGAATAGAAATAGCAGCAGTCGCCGGATGAACAGTAGTAGCAATAATGATATTCGAGGTAATAGACTTCCTCGTGCAGATCGCAGAGATTCACGAGATTCACGAGATCGACGAGACGTATCGAATGGCAACAATATGATTCCATTTAATGGGAATAGTAGACTACAAGGTGGATATATAAATCAACAACCGAGAGGTTCAACGCGAGAAAACCTAATGACAACAAGATACAATTGAATTTATCATATTTGTCCGATGTTATTAGAGCAAAAAATCTATTGAAAAGACAATTTAAATAGACATTTTGGGGGTGTGTTTTCTACGATTATAGCGAGTGGACTGTTTATTTATTGGGTGGTGCCAATAAAACCACCTATCAAACACAAAACTATTTAGAAGCTACAAAAACAACTTTATACATATACTTTTGTAAAATAATATAAATAAATTGCTTTTATCGTTTGTGTAATATAAAAAAATCTAGAGTTGATCGAACAATCTATTTTACTAATAACAAGCGTAGAGTTTACTAAAACCGACCAATTTACGATAAATTTCACGTTCATGTACTCTGCTATTTCTTCGTTGTTTCTTGTCAAGTACATTTTTTACTGTACAAGTCCGGCGTGAGCCATCTCCGTCGGTTTATGGATGGTGAGGAAGGGTAGGAGAATGTTGCATTAACATTCCGATTAGCTCGCAATCAACATTTCGGGCAACGGAAGACCTTGGACCCACCCAGATTTTGATAGGTATTCCTCCATGCATACAATCACATGACCCCAAATTAATCGCCGTTATTAAAGTCGCGTTTTTTCTTTATTCAATAAAAAATATATTCAATTTCTTGTGTACTTGTATTATACCTTTCCGAATGGAAATTTTGTGCATTAGGAAAAACGTGACATGTACAGTGGTCGCCATAATTTAGTTTGTTAGGTACAACTTCACGAAAATTCATTTAAAACATATGAAATTCCATATCTAATATCATAAATACACTTAAATTAATAAAAGTTTGCGTAAATTTATGCTAAAAATTGCGAATTGGAACATTTAAAAATTAAGGAGGATAACAAGATTCTAAAAAATATTTTCACTAATCAAGTTTGCAAATATTTTTAAGGGACATATTTTCATATCTTAAAGAATTTATTTCATAATGATCAATTAAAAAAAGGTATAATTTTGCTTTATTTCTTAATAAATCATAGTAAAAATTGAATTTTTTTTTTATTTTTACTATAATTTATTAAGAAATTTAGCAAAATTATACCTTTTTTTAATGAAATAAATTCAATTGAAAAATTATAGATATATTCTTTAAGATATGAAAATATGTTCCTTAAAAATATTTGCAAAATTGATTAGTGAAAATATTTTTTAGAATCTTGTTATCCTCCTTAATTTTTAAATGTTCCAATTCGCAATTTTTAGCATAAATTTACGCAAAATTTTATTAATTTAAGTGTAGTTATGATATTAGATAAATTTATTTCCCATACCATGTATTATATATGGAATTTCATATGTTTAAATGAATTTTTGTGAAGTTGTACCTAAAAAACTAAATTCTGGATACTTATGATGACCACTGTATCAAAAACGGAACCTACTTGGAGATCAAAAACGAAACTTTTTCCGCAGAAGTTGCTGACGAAATCGGAAGTGCGCCTACGTCAACATCGCCCGTGCGGCCGTGGGACGGATCCGCCGCGATAATTCTGGCACAACCATTCGGCAAGCTTACGGTGACAGTCTTCTTCTCCTGGACGCATGGCAAAGCCGATAAATTTTGCCGATATCACCTTTGCCCATTCCATGGCTTGTCCGCTCAGATCAAGCGTTCGCATGCCTGGATCTAGTGCGATCACTCCCTCCTTCGAGTTTGCGAGGCCTTAGTTCTCAGCCCACGTCTCGAAAATGTGGAATTCGTCAAGCCCTGACAATAGCCATCCTTCCAGAACGCCCCCCTTCTTACAGGTCCTCCAAGTACAAAATTTACCAAATTTAAGCACCATCCAAAAATGGAATAATCTACTTTTATCAATAATATCGATATAATCAAATGACTCAACGATTTAGTGTGACAAGTTAAACCAGAATGTTAATGATACCTACCGCTACCTTATACAATGAATTTAACAAGTTTAATTGTAGGTGTGATTAATATATACATATACAACTCTCGCTGCTTTATGACGCTTATGACGTAACATATCATCATAATGCAGATATCTAATTGTAGGCATTACATAATGCTGATCAGGAAACAGGGATGAATGGAGGTTAGATTAGAAATTTATTTTCCGATAACGATCAAAAATCAAAAATTAATATTCTACAGACAGAACAAAAAACGTTCCCGCGTTTGATACGATAATAATATTAAAATTTGTTTAAATTATGCTACTGTAAAAAAGAAAAATGCTCGAGTCCTATTGAGATTATCTAAAGCCCAGCCAAGAGCCTTGCCTATTCAACCACCTTCATTAAATAAATATTTATCTATACGTCCACCCTTTCACCCAAAATCTCAATATGTAAAGTGTGATTGGAGTATAATTAAATGCAAGGAAATTATGATACAATTAAAGAAAAGGTTGTTTTGAATGGTTTGGATTTACAAATGACACCACCTAAATTGTTTGTTTTTCTTTTCAAACAGCCTGGCTATAATACCACAAAACGTCATCAAACATATCCACTTTTCGCTCTTCTTCCTTGTGGACGTTTCGTATAAAACTCGCCATTATGTAACTCGTAGTTGTCGCGTTCTTTTAAGAGAGTTTTTTCATCGAAATCCACAGAAAGCTTGTTAACTTTTGTGGTAGCAATTGGATACATTCCCTTCTGTTTACGCTGTTGCTGTTGTTGTTTCTTTAAATAAGAATGTTGCTTTTGTTGATGATATGAGCTGTAATCCTTCGAGTTTCTTTTTTTATCAACGACTTTGATTTTAGAGACTTTGACTTTGGTCTCGTCTTCTACTTTAACCCATTTTCTCATTCCCCAACTAGCAATGTCCATTACAACACCACCCGAGAATTCCGCGATGAGAAAACCTAGTCGTACCCACAGGACTATTATAGCTAATGCAGAAGTGACAACAGCGACTGTGGTAAATGACGCCATCACAACGAGAATGAATGGAGCGAGTAAAAGAACTACTGGTGAAAAAACTATAGAAAGCTTCATTGTTTACGAACACTTTTTAATAAAGTACTTTCAACGAATTAAATAAATTTTTCGGAATGCTTAAATGTTTACAGGTATTGATTTATTGATTTGATTAGAGGGGTATAAACAAAGTAATTTAACTAATCACTAGAGAAGAGGGAGGTCTGATTAAAAAAACGTAAAAATAGAGCGAGTATTTATTTATGTTTCAAACGAGACAAAATGACACCAGTTATCTGTATTTAAAACTTTTTTGGTGTGACAGGGCCTATTATGATTTGGGTCATGTGGCCATAATTATTGCATTACAGAATAGACATTTTGCAAATAAGTATGCAAAATATTTATAATTGGCTGGATGATTGGTGTGACCGAAATTCCAAACAATGCACAAGAAATAAGTAACGGTAACGGTAATTGATTCTATTAACTATTGGTCAAATGATGATAATAAGTATTTTTGGGGCGAAATGACCAAAACAATTTTAACAAAAAAAGCAAAAGTCATCAATTTATTCTCCACGACATTCTTTTTGATTTTGATAATCTTGCTTTTTTGTTGGGGAGAGAATTTAGAGTGAGATTTAGATAAAAAGGCGTAGTAGCCAAGATCGGTGATTTACATATTTTCTTGTACACGTTATCTTCTGATACAGAATGTGTCTAAAACGTTTACTCATTTTATGCACATAATACATAATGAAAAGATAAAAGATGGTCGCATGACTGACTCAGTCTCGCACTGTAATGTAGATCCTGTTTCTTTACCAAAAAGAACGGAAAAGGCCCGAGAAGGGATCAAAATAAGCCATTAATTATTCTCTTGACACGTGCTATACAGCTTCAATGCCATCATTTTAAGTGGGTAATACATAGAACAATAATGCATGTATGCCGACGAAAAATATGTAGAATATCAGCCAATCAAACAACTCTGGCAATTGTTTTTACACCTTCACAAAAATATGTTTGAGAACCACCGCAAGGAACGAGGAAAACTTTTAGATATCAAAAATTTTCTTCCCCTGGGAATATATTTTTTGTTTTTACTTACGTGTTTGTTAGCAGCAGAGGCTAAAGTCTCGAACAGTAACACTACTACCAATAGACTTCGAGGAATTGCAAAGTCGAGTATGTATTTATTTTATCTCGAGTGTATGCACTCGTGACATTGTCTCTGTGCTTTGGCCAAAAATACGTATTTATTTTTTTCATTAATTGATATTACCTTATATCGGATATAGAAATATACTTATATGAGCATACAGACTCGGATTGGGTATGCTTAGACGGCTCAGCTAGAATACCATATGATGCTATAAATGATGATTTTTGTGATTGTAAAGATGGATCAGATGAGCCAGGTGGGTTAATTAATTATATTTGAAACCTGAGACTTTGTATAATTGATTAGATGATTAAATGAATTTTTAAATTGATGTGTTTAGGCACTTCTGCATGTTCGAATGGTCGATTTTATTGTGAGAATGAAGGTCACATTCCTGCGTACGTTGAATCTTTTCGTGTTAACGATGGAAAATGTGGTTAGTTTTAACCCGGATCGTAATTTCATGGTATAATAATACTGAAAATTTCATGTTATTAAAATTTATTTTTTACTTTTTCTTATAGAACCGGAATGTTGTGATGGCTCAGACGAGTATGGCGGAAAAATCCAATGCCCAAATAATTGTGAACAAGTCGGCTTCGAACATCGTAAACACCTAAGGGAGATTGCGAGAACACAGGCCGAGGTTAGTTGGTTGTATGTGTCAAATTTTTTCTTTCGCAATTTCCCAGAACCCTTTCGTTGGTTGATTGGTGATGGATTTTCCTCGAAATTCTCTTAGGGTGCTCGAATAAGGCGAGAATATATAGAATATGGTAAAGAGTTAAGATTAGAGCGACAAGCAGATTTAGAAAGATTGCAAATTGAACTTCTTGCCGCGAAAGAAAGAGTAAAAGAGCGTAAAGGTATATAATAATCGTAAAACTTCATTGATTAATGAATTGCATATAAAAGTACTTACCTCTAATCAATTTATTCAAAAGAGGTTTTAGAGCAAGCTGAAGAGGAAGAAAGAAGACAGATACAACTTACCACAAAACCAAATGGTAAATTACATTATATGTAAACATAGCTATTTTTGCCGTTAATTCACACGAAATTAATATTTATAGTCGCACGTAAAGCGCTAAAGAAATGCAAAGAACGCGTCGAATCGTTACATGAACGCATCGATAAGCTACACGAGAACATTGATACATTACTCAAAATTTTCAAGGATTTAAAAAATGATCATAATCAAAATTACCATGACATGGCCGTAAAGTCCGCGATTGCGGGCTATGATGATTTTCTCAAAGAATATGAGAACGAAAGAGACGAGAATTTGCCGGATGAATTGGATGAAGAGGATTCACAGGATAACAATGATCAAGATAATGAAGCAGAGGAAGATATAGCACCACCAATACATTCGCCACTTGAAAAGGATGGTGAGTTATTGTTGTTCTCTTGATGAGTTTTTAAGACTTGATATTTTTTAATAAATTAATTTTATCAGAACCTTCACTTCTGGAGTCAATAATCGATACAGCTAAAATCACCTATAATGATATTATGGAATCCATCGGTTTGGATGCTTTCACTCTTTCCACCAGGACAGAACAAAAATCCGTAGTTCCTGGAACTTCCAAAGGTGAGTCTTCATCAATTATCATATCAACTCTATTTGTACCAACTATACACATCTTTATTTATTATAGGGGTCTTAGTTGCACGTGATAGTCTTAATTCGGCAGAAAATGAACAGCGTGAAATCGAGAATCAAATCAATGACATTAATAGCAAATTCTCCAAAGATTACGGACGTAGTGATGAATTTGCAAAATTAGACGGGGAATGTTTTGAACATGTTACTGGAGAGTAAGTCACCAATTAATTAATATGATTTTTTGTAATTATAAAAAGCTATGCTGAGATATTGTGATTTTCTCCAATATTTTATTACTAGATACACGTATTCCTTGTGTCTATTCGACAGTACAACTCAAAAGAGCAATAAGGATTATTCATCCACAAATTTAGGGTAATATTTATATGCATCTTTTATATTCTTTGGTTATCATAATATTAACGTACTATAATAATGATTTATAAAAGTAACTTTGAACGATGGATCGGAGCCGAATCTCAAGATGACCCTGCATATTATACCAAACAAATATACGAGCACGGAATAAAGTGCTGGAATGGTCCAGAGCGATCTCTTAAAGTTAATATTAATACTTGGATATTCAATTTGGTTTTCTTAAGAGCTAATTTTCATTCATCTTTTCTCGTTAATAATAATGAAGGTAACATTTGAGTGCTCGCCCGAAAATAAGATTTTTGCGGTGTCTGAGACAGAAAAATGCGAGTACGCGATGACAATGAAAACTCCGGCTGTTTGTACCGATGGTGATGAAGACGATAATAGTCAAAAGAATGTTGTTCATGAGGAATTGTAAAAATAGATGATTGATGACGATAGAGATCAATAGAAATTTCTTAGATATTAGAAGTTCAACCAAGTTCAAATGAATTATTTATACATTTTCTTCAAGTTATTATAACTTAATGAGGAACAGGAGGAAAATCTCCCGTCCCCAAAAGCAATGACGGTTCTCGGGTCATCCTTTTGATGGTCGATGTATAATAAAAACTGAATTAGATACAATCAGACCTCGATTTAACGACGATGCGATTTAACAATCACTTAGTATAACGACATCACTCTTCCATATAAAATCAGGCACAATTTGAAATAGCGACATTTTTTCAATTTTTTACTAAATGTATCCTTAAATGCATTTAAATAATCTCTGCATTTATATAATGAAATCTAACATTAAAAAAATTAGACTTGGAACTTGAAGAGCATTGATCAAGATGTGGTTTTTTCTCTTGGTTAAAATTGACTAACTGAAAATTTGAGGTAAATTACTCAGAGGACTGAATATAGTTGCTATCCAAATTTTAAATCTTTAAATATCCACTAAAATCCAAATCCCAGATGGAAAAAGATCATAACCCAAATTGAAAAAATTATATTTGGACAATTATAATCCCAAACTCTGATCAAATTCCAAATTCTGGTCAAATCCCAAACTCTAATTAAATCCCAAACTCTAATTAAATTCCAAATTTTAACTGGCTTAAATGCATTATCATTATATATTATTAATTAAGAAAAAATCACTTAAAATTCCATCTCTATCCATTCCTTTATCATTAATTTCATCCATATTAATGCAAAGTTTTAACCAGAAATGTATGTTTTAAATTAAAAAAAAAATAGAAGATAAAGAATCCAAAAAGTCCAAGAAATATAAGAAAAAAAACTTTTTTTAAAAATTAATAATTCAACCAATAGTACACAAATATTTAATAAAAAATTAGATACAACCAAATTTTTACCAATAAAAAAAAGATGAGAAAAACTATTTGCTTTTTTGTAGACTGAAAAAAGAAAATAATAAGAAGTAAAGAACACATAACAACACAAAACTAGATTTTTTTGTGATACTATAAAACTAGATTTTTGTTGTAATACTACAAGACTAGATTTTTACTTTTTGATTGATCAAATATCATGTGAATAAAATTTGGGATTTGGGATTTTACCAACATTTGGAATTATATTTGCTGTTCAAATCCAAAAAAGAAAATTGTTCAGTTCCAAGTCCCAAATCCCAATTGGGATTTGGAATTTGGAATTTTACCTGTTCAAACTGGAAAAAATATGTTTGGACATATGGGATTTTAAATATTATTGGAAAATACCATTTTTCCTGGTATTTCCAGTGCCCAAATCCCAGAGTTTGGACAGCAACTATAGGGCTGAACTACTGTCAAAGCTTGATTTAACGACTATACGATTTAATGAAATTGCGAGCAAGCGATTCTTGTCCCAGATCACTATATTGAAATCGCGTTCAATTTAGCGATGTCTATTAGTATTCTCTTGATTTAGCATTTAACGATATCTTGAAATTTGATCGGTAAATCAAGGTTTGACTGCAATCTGTTGTCAGAGGTTTTGTAATCGGAAAATACTAATTCAAATATCAAAGAAACTAATCGTTATTTTTTTGATTTTCCTGAAGATTTTCCTGAGCATCATTCCATCATCATTATCCTCTGATTTTGTCTCTGTCGGGCATTTAGGTACATTCGGTGGACGACCATTCACATCTTGCGCGAAATTCTGTGTCCAGTATGTGTCCCTAAACCCGGAACCAAAATGCGTGAATTTGCTATCCAATATATTCGCACGATGACCAGGAGAATTCATCCAACTATACATACCGATACATCATTATCAGTTAGCATTTATTCCGTGTGACAAAAACATAGCTTATCAATAATACTTACGCGTGCATAACACCTTCATCATCGTACTCTTCGAATCCACGTGCGATGTTCTCCCCGGCACGCCACCAATCAAATCCTTGATCGTCAATTCGTTTGCCTAAATCACCTGATGGATCTTCATGCGTCAAATTCTTATTTGAGGCCATGAAATCTGTGTGCAATTGTGCTGACATTACAAGACGTCTGTATATCAGTATCATTTTTCGGAAAGAATATTAACGTTAATATCAATATACATGTTTCATTCGAATATTTAATAATAGCAAAGACCATAACTCATCTAACGCTAGCGCGCGTCGCCAACGCCTAGTACGTTCTTTATTGACTAGGCATAGTAAAGATGTAGGTGATGCGTCTGTTTTACTTATTAATAATAACGTAAACAATAATGATGCTATGACACTCAAGATGAGCAATTTCGTGAAATTACAATTTTTCGTCATCCTTTTCAAAGATGAGCAATTTAGAAGGTAAACAATTTTACTTCATTGAGGATATATAACGATAACATTTGCCAAGAAATACTTTTCATTGTACACTTTGAAAACCTGTTCAATTAAGCGCCAATTATTTATGATTATTGCATCATATGATGCATATCATCTAAAGTCATCAAACGTTTGTATTTTATAAACTTCTCAACTAAGAAGTAAATTCAGTAAATATGGTAGAATATGCCTTTTTCTACCATATTTACTGAATTTACTTCTTAGTTGAGAAGTTTATAAAATACAAACGTTTGATGACTTTAGATGATATGCACCATAGAATTTTTTTAGGCGATCGTCATAAATCTAACAGTTCACATGTAAAAAAAGAACATTGCTAGTTTTCTCCTGGTTAAAAGTGTCAAAATTGACTAATCGAAAATTTGATGTAAATCACTCGGAGGACTAAATTAATCTCTTTTCAGAAGTTTTAAGGTTAAAATGAATCATGGAAATCACTACATCTTTTGAATGAATGCGTAAAAATAAGGTTACATTTATTCATAAGCATGTCAATTGAAACTCATAAATAATAAAAAGCCAATTTCAATTATATTCACTATTCTTTAAAGAGAAAGTTCTTGAATTTACTTAGTAATAATTAGCATGATAGTGAAGTCGAATCTTTTTAATTGCACCCGCATAATACCAGAAAACTAACATATAACACTGCTTAAAGTAAACTTCCCCCATAGAACGTTTTAGATCTTAATTTAGTCCAATTTATTTTTCTGCCACATGAACAATTCAAGTTTCATGGCGGTACAATTTCTTCAAAATTCTTATCATCAAAAGAATGGCTTTGAGGTTAAATTAGGTGACGGTACCTTAAGCAGTGGTATGCGGTATGGCCCCAAGTTATAATTGCCAATTTGATCGTAACCATATATTTCGTTATGTCTTAAACCTGTCATGATAAAAGAATACAAAAACAGGGTTGATGTCATAAGTTGCATATGTAATAATAGAAGTCATAGGAACACGAACACTGCAGAAAAAGTATATGAATGCTTCAATTTTAAAAGCTCCGATATGAGATAACGATAACGAAAGTGATTATCAAAGACCTCCAAGAAGATCAGAATTAGTGACTTAATCAAAGCTGTGCATTTGTTATGCATCTCCTGCTCGATCAAAAGTTTTTTATCTTGTTATTATCTACCGATTTAGTTCCTTGGACATAAACAACTTGGATATACACAAGAAAACAGCCTTTAGTTAGTTTAACGTTAATATTGAAAACAGAGAGCAGGTGAAAAAAAAACAGATGGATTCCGATAATTGATAACTGAAAGGAAAGATGAAGTTGGGCCATTAGATTTGTACAATGTGTATAATGTGTATAATGGATAACGTAAGTGATCTCCCTGTCGGCAAAAACCGGGATGCTGAAGAGGATGGAGGGAAAGGAGGAGGTTTTGATAACGATAATATATGATACAGATGTGATAATTATTGTCACGCGACCACAAAAGTACATAATTGACAACATCCAAACATTAATTTTCCCTTCTCAAATTTAAGGCTCGAAATCTAACAAACTTGTGCGACAACGATAACCCCACTAGTTAACCTCTTTAGTATCATTCATGTATTAACACACACAGATATCCTTGATTTTTTATGAACATTAAACACAAATTAATTACGTATTATCAGGCGGAAGAGGAAAAAGGCTAAACCGCTATATGCACCTTCTCAAAATTCAAGAAAAGGAAATCAGGAAAAGTGGGGAGACGCAATTGTTTAATATGTTATAATGGTGATGACGTTATTGTGATAGGTGAGCGCCTCAATTTCTTAATAAGCTAATAATAAAAATTAATAATAATAATAGTAATAATAAGAATAAGATATACAAATAAATTCTTTTAATATTAGATTAATTAGCACACGGTCTAGATAAAAAAAAGATCAAAGCACGGCGGTGTTTCCATTTTGCTTTAGATCTTTTTGATAAAGTGCTATCACTATTGCGTCCAAAAACAGTATACTAGATTTGATAAATGTGAGATGATAATGTACAGAACATACAGCAATATTTATATAGAGTTGGCGCAATCTGACTGTTTTCAAGTCTTTCGAAGTAGTTGATGATTGGAAGACATAGATTAAAGACAGCATTTTTCCGCAGACTATTTTTAGTGTCTACATCCCTCCTCACAAAAGCACAGAAAATGACAAAAAGAGTAATGCACACAATAAATATGATTGTTAAATAAGTGATTTACTGATCTTACTGATAAAAATAATTGCATAGATTATTTAATCATATGTCCACTGCATTATCTCTCAATGACGATAAATAAATAACGCGTTGATAAAGGTTTAATCAAGATCTATTTAGAGCATAAGCATTTTTTTTTAATTTTACTTTGCTTATTGTCGGTAAGCGCATGTACATCCTTGACCAAAAAAATCTCTTTGGTGTTATTTAAATACTCCCCCTTGCTATACATATTGTTATAGATATTTATATACATATTTACGTATTTCATGTACCTTGTTACATGCATCAAAATCTTCGCGACACTGATTGGTGTTGCTTGGCGTTTACTTAAGCAATAAATAAATGAATTAACTTACATCATTGATTCAGATTTTATCGACTATATCTCTTTAATTACTACATATCAAACATATTATATATATTATTGATGCACATGGCTAAAAAAAATGATTATATACACAAATAAATAAATAAATCAAAATTTTTTGACATCTTTAATTGTCGGTCATTCTTTAGTAGTTGGTGATGAAGATGATAGACTTATCATTGTCGGTCTTTGTCCAAATCAGAAATATGATAATTATATAAGGTATTATAAGATAGATTGTTCGAATAACAATAGAGATTGACAATACGATTAGCCCTAAATGGATGATATTCTCCTTATCTGTTTTTTTTTAAAAAAAAAGCACAGATATCTTATCGCCTATGATCTTGTGATTGAATCCGCGTAATTGTGCGACAAAATGAACATATAAATTTATGTCGATTTCATTATCAATATGACATGTACTTTTTTTTGTCTTCGTCGTTGTCGTCTTTAATCATCGTGTTAACAGCACACAAATAATCACCCCTACAATTAATATCTGAAGTTTTAATAACCTTCCGCACACATATATAAGCCAATAAATAATATAGCGAGACTTGTTCGCTCTTCTATTTTTTTTTTTTTAATTTAATTTATTTTTTTATAGTTCATTGTGTCTTTCTAAACGACGCATTTTACCCACCTGTCCAATGCATCAGTGGGCTGCCATAACAAAGTATTCTAGACCCGCAACCACTGACCGCACTCTTGCCTTGTACCACATCGAAAGTCCAACCTTCCTTTAAACAACAACAAACAATTTACACAACAAAAAATTTACACAAGCTCACAACACATTCTAAAAAAGAAGAGATACTCAGTAATCTCTTTAGTAAAAACCCAAAGGAATATTATCTCTATTCCAAACAAAAAATACAGTCCACAGCATTCGAATCTACCCATTTCTCCACGAATTCGGTTACACTCTTTACTGCAACCATACTCGTTTTCGCCTCTCCTCAACCACAAAGCAAACATCACAATCTATCAGCATTTCTAATTAATTATCAATATTTTGGATATGAAAACTAATCATCAACTTCAGCAACAACTTCATCCCATTGCTCAATCTGCTAACAGTCACATGTCGTTAAATAATCAACAACATTCTGATGTTAACATACATCATCATCATCATCATCATTCGTTGACATCATCGCATCAGACTTATCAACAGCAACAATCAATGCAGAATTTGCAACCAGAACTTCATCAGCATTCAATTTTACCCCAGCAATCGCGTAAAGGTTCTTCGTCTGGAACTGTTCAACAGTTGAACCCCAGAAATTGTAAAACTGAAGGTAACAACAATGTATCCGCTACTGTTTGCGCTAACTGTGGAATTACCACTACACCGTTGTGGAGGAGAGCTCCGAATGGAGAGACGATTTGTAATGCTTGTGGTGAGTTTTTTTTTACTAATGATTTCATTTATACCGTCTATAGTCACATCATATAAAAACCCCGTTATAATCACATTCATGAAAAGAAATTACTATTGGATCCAGCAGTGTGACTATAGAGGGGGGTAAATGTAAAAATAAATATTAATTAATCTAATTTATTTAATATAAATATAGGATTGTATCTCAAGGCTAGAAACACTGTTCGTCCACCTTGGTTGAAACGTAACGCAATCAAAAAAGCCACACCTTCTTCACCTGAATCTTCTGATACTGCTAGTACTGGAACGTGTCCAGGTGATGGTCATTGTGATGGCACTGGTGGATCTCGTTCGTGTGATGGTTGTCCGGCTTACAACCAACATCAAGTGAATCGTCAAGCTTTGAGTTGTGCTAATTGTGGTACAAATACCACCCCTCTTTGGCGACGCGACGAAGCCGGTAACACTATTTGCAACGCCTGTGGTAAATAAACGTGTTAATCACCATTTTCTACTGAATATTGTTTATTTCTTGATTTGACTATTAACATTTTTTAATTATTATATCAAACCAGGTCTTTACTTCAAGCTGCATAATGTGCACCGTCCAGTTGCCATGAAACGTTCGGTGATCAAACGCCGTAAACGCGTTGCGTTGGCTTCTTCACCACCACCTACATCTCACCATCGTCACACTAATCGCGAGGTAGACAATCATCGTAAGAATCGCATTCAACATCCCCCAACTCCCTCTTCAACTTCTGGGTCCGAGCCTGGTTATTTTTCGTCTGAAGAGGATGATTGCTCTAGCGATGGAACTCAACTTGGTCAAAAGAGAAAATACTCTATGACTGGAACATCAAGCAAACGTCTGTGTGGTAACGATAGACAAGTTCCCGCCATTGAAGATTACATCACACCCAAACAACATGTCAATCCTCCTCATGGAGATAATGGAATGTGGAATACTCACGTTATTGATGAAAGACGTCGAAGTTTGAGTCCCGTTGAATCCTTGTCTCAAGTGCAGATTCATGCTAATCTCAATAGTGGTGGACGCATCATGAGGACTCCCAGCATTCCTTTTCCTCCTGTTTATTCTACTAACAACAATAATTTCCAATCGACTCAAGATAATAATTTCCAATCAACTCAATACAATAGTAATAATAATGATGGTTCGGCTTCTCCTAATCATGGAAGCAGCAGCAACAATTCTCATTACACTGCACCTTCTTCTCAGATTAGTTCAATTTCGGCTTTGCTCAATCCTACTTCTCCACCTATCAATAAGAATGTCACCACTCACTTGCCTCCGATTACTTCAATTCCTTCACCTGTTATGAATACTTCAGTTGCTCAAAATAACATGCCAATTGGTAATCTCTTGCAACAACCCACGCAACGTCCTCATATTCCCCCTAACAACAGCGACCCTAATATAACTAGAGAGGTTTTGCAAGCTCACCGTCAAGAATTGCAACGCGAAGTTTCTCACCTTAGTATGCTACTCAGTCGAACCACTGCCATCTTATGTGGATTGGATCAAACTTTGGGTTCTAATGTCGGCTCCGAATCTGCACCTCATAATCCCCCTTCCAATTCGGGTCACGATCAACCAATTTCGACTGTAGGTTTGGCTTCCGAAGCTAATTCTACATCGGCTTTGGCTTCATTGTTTGTAAATCAATATGCCGGAAAACAAGTTCAACAAAGTTACGTTCTTCCTCCTCCATCTGGTTTAGTTGGTCCACGTGTATAATCATGAATTTTTTTCCTATGAAATAGATACATGGTTATTTTCTTATTCATTATATATTTCTTAGTTTATGGTTAAGGGTCAATTGGTTTTTTTTGCCGTCACAATCATCATTATTTTTACTATATTTTTATTGTTATAAATAATTGTAAATTTGAAAATTACTTTTCTCTATGAAAACTGATGTATTTTCATTTTTTTTATTTACAATAAACTTAATTTTTATTTTATACAAAGATGAATTGGTATTTGATTTAGTCCAAATATGGCCAATTATGAAGAAGCATCTCGTAATAGGACATGAGTTTTTATTTTACTTCTTGATATGTATGTAGTTCATTTGTTTTATTTTTTCTTTGAATAATTGGTCAATAAGTGAAGATACTTCAAACTATGACCTATCTCACAGATTCGCTGAAACTTTCCAGTAGCCCTATCCACGTTTCAAATTGTTGGCGAGGCGAGAAAAAAAGAATCAAAATAATTAATTAATTAATTTTTATTAGGGTAACAATGATCTAAACCACATGCCCTTTATGTGTAGATGGAAATTTTCTATCTTAACAATCCATGAATAACTTGTGGTGTAGATTAAAAAATTGCCTCAGTGAAAAAAGGTCCCTTGACTCTTCTACCGCCAGATAAGTGTTATGTTAGAATTCATCAAATCAAAATAATACGCATAGTTGTCCCTGAACTTTATGCATTTTTTAAAAATAGGAAATTCGATTGATCTATATATTTGTTTATTTTCTAATTGTTAATAAACGCACAGCCAGCATAGATGGCCAAACCACAATTATCGTTATAAAAAGAAAGCTGGCTGGTTGGCGATATTAAAAAATCGTCATTTGCACTTTTAACCTTTGTTTATTTTATCTTAAATTTACTCCAGTTATAGTTTAGTGTTTCGGGAGAAACTATTTTTCAAAATCCGCGAAACTATCCTAGCGATCAGGACGGCGACCGGATATTGTATTTGTTATGAAGGATAAAATTAAGAAAATATGAGCTTATGTATGCCGAATGCTCGCGTTTATTTTGCGCCCCTCAAAAGATAGAAGATGACTCTGTAAAGCTGTGGCGTGAAACTAACGATGGGTTTACAAAAGCTGTAGACAACCCTAATTTGGAAGATCAAATTGGGTGAAACATTACAATTACTAACATTACCGGTAAATGAGCCGGGGGAAGAGAGCTCAGCGGTAATATTAAACTGAGAAATGATATCAAAAGTGTGGGAGGAAAATGATCCGAGGAACATATGACCAGCTGAGCTCCCTTGGCTCCCACCCACGAGTGGAAATGATATCGCAGATCATTTTTTTTAGTTCCTTTCTTTAAATACAATAAAAAAATACGCTTTACGAATAATAGACGCTTACGACACTCAATTTTTTATTAAAAAATCGTTTTCTTTTTTTAATCTTTTTAAAATCATGGGCTTTTGGGGAGATGTCGTTGACGGTTTTGTTGAAGGATTAAAAATCGGCAGTAAAATAATGGTATTATTGTCAATCGTTTTATTATTACGCAATTATATAAGTATATAACGAACTTGGTTATCTCAATTTTATAGCTTTTACAAAAAATGAAAAACTATCGCAGTACCGCGTGTACCCACGTAAAACTAGCGCTATTTGGAACGTTTGGGATGGAGCGATTGCCACCGTTGAAAGTAACTCAGTGCTCGTCAGAAGTAACGTACCCCCTTAACTTTCCATAGATCATGTGTAATGTACCAGTACTTTCCGAGAACAAAGAATAATGCAAACATTGATCATTGACATCTTTTATCGGCCATTCTATGCACCAAACTTCTACACATAAATAATGTCGATCCCAATTCACAAACGATACACATCCCAAAGGTCCGAAGCTTGGACTTGATGCTACAGCTAAATACGTTAAATGTAGTAAGCCCACAGTGGTTCGTTGGAAGGATCTAAGTGGTGAACCGAAATCCGGCAGAAATCGATCCACAACTCCGAAACAAGACGAAAAGATTATAGAGCTTGCACAGAAGCAAACTGATGCAACCGCACTGATATACAACAGGAAATGGAAAAACGAAATGTAAATGTTAGTTTGAAAACTATTCAACGACGTTTACATGAAGGCGGAAGCAAATACATGGCGAAACTTTCCAAACCACAATTTCTAAATCAATACGATATCAACGGAGATACCATCAACCTTGCCGAAAGAATCGTGGAATACCTACACCAATACACTGCCATCAAAATTACACACGATTCTTAGTTTATTCGAATCGATATCATTAAAACAAAAACGCAATCACAAGATTAAGTAAATACAAAGAAGGCGAGTATCTTACATCAAATCAAGATTCTGTGTATTACTACGAGCACGCTGAATATTACGATTCGGACTGATGGTCAGATAAAAACAAAAATAAATATACGTTCGACGAAATCCGATTCGACGGAAACAAAGAAATAAAGAAAAAAGTATTAGGAAAATCACTAATACGACTGCCGAACGAACCAGCTGGAACGACTATACCATTTTCTATCGTGAAGAAATGTCAATTATTCGCGCGGACGCACCTTATCGTGAAAAAAAACCAGAAGTTAGACTCTTGCTGGGTGCATGGCACACAAGTAAAGAAATGTGTGATACTTAATTACTATATTTTCGGGCTATGGAATTTTTAATTTAGCTGCTTATCTAACGCCCCAGCTCAGAAAACCTAACTAAAAACTTACGCAAAAAAATTCGCAATCCTGCCTCCAATTCTAATACGACAAAATGGAATGAACCGTTGAAGGGGTTTTTTGAAGAATATGATCCAGACCTAGTCAATCGATGCGATTTCTTTGCGTGGGCGTGGAGCATTTTACTGCTGGACCTAAAGTATCCATACATATCTTGACAAATTGGAAAAAGTAGTAGATTATCAAGTTACAAGTGTTCTTCGTCGTTTACCTGCTATTCAATGACAATTAATTGCCACCAACATAAAAATTATTGGATGGAAGAACAGTTGACAAAAATTATCTTCACATTTCATAAAATTGCTGATTTATTTCCATATCTCACTGAAGAAGTTATTGAATCAATTACCAAAATATCTCACCTTTTGGAAGAACAAAATTTTGATGGAACAATTAATATTATCTTTCAACAATTTGTTATCAATGAAACAAATGGATAATTGTATATATATGCAATTCATCATAGTGTTAACCAACAACAAATCCAATTTCATGCAAGAATTAATGAAATTGTAATTGAAATGTTATATAATAGAGATACTTATTATATATCTTCAACTTATCAATTAAACAACAATTTTGAATGAAAAGCTCAAGTAATTCAAGTATTAAAAGATATAATAGAAGATCATAATCTAAATGCATCTCAGTTACAAAAGTATTATCATCTTGAAAGACTTTTTCAGAACATTTCAAGAAACATAATAAAAAATATCTGCACTCAAATATAACTTGAAAAAAAGATGTAAAATCTGAATCATGAATATATATCTGAGAATTGCTAAGTATATTTGACAAATATTTAACAAAATTGGCTTGCAAAGACTTCAAAAAGATATAAATGTCACTCCATTTCAAATTGAAAGACTTATAAATATTAAATTTGAAGAAATACTGAAAAAAATCTTTACTGGAGCTCAGACTTTTTCAAAAGAAATATAATATTATCAATTTCATCAAAAATTTCTTAATTTTTAGATCATTCAAAATTGTGATATATCACAATATAACTCAATAATAATCAAATTACTTTTTCTCTTTATTTTTGCATTGTACATTATTAAACAATCAAATCTAATAAATATCATTTTTTTTTAATATTTAAATCTACTATTGTTTTCTTTTTTTGCAAAACTTCTTTTTACTAAAACTTTTATTTTTTCTTATCTTTAACTACTAAAATTACAACTAATTTTCTTTTATATTTGCTTTTCTATAAGTTTATATAATTTTTCACTTATTTTCTAATATTTAGTTTTCTTTTGTATTATTAATATTGTCTGTAATTAATAATATAAATTAGAATAATTATTAATTATATAAAATGTGAAAAAATTGAAAATGTCTCTTGTTGCTAGAAACTTTTGTGTTTTAATCTAATAAAAATAACAAAGTTTTTACTTGTAATATTATACTTGTGAATATAATATTATTTTTATGATCATCTTTAAATCTTAATTACAAATAGTAAATACTTCTTTATTCTAAATAAGTCATTGATTTTATTATCTTTATTATTTTAGTTTTATTATTTTTAGATTATATTAATAAGAAGTCTTGTTATATTATTTTATATTAAAATCATTATATTTCTTTATTGATAAACTTAATAAGTTTAATTATTATTATATTTTGTTAATAAAAGATAGTAATAAAATAAATATCTAATAAATTATTTTTGTTATTTATTAAAGTTTACTATTTTCAATATTTTCAATTATTTTTCAAATTCAGAATTTTCTTTGAATTTATGAAATTATTATTACTACTGTAACATTATTTATATTATAAAATTATAGAAAAAGATATATAAAAAAAGGTAAAAAAGATAAAAAAAATAGAAAGTAAAGGTAGAAAAGGTAGAAAAAATAGAAAATAAAAGTAAAAAAAATAGAATAGGTAGAAAATAAAGATAAAAAAGATAAAAAACAAAGATAGAAAAGATAAAAAAGGTAAAAAAATAAAAGTAGAAAAGATAGAAGATAAAGATAAAAACTGTTAAATTAAAATGATAAATAATAATAATTATATAATTATTAAATAAAATATATATATAAATTATTTTTATCAATTTGTTGTTTTATTATTATTTTTAGAAATTTTTATATTTTTTACTATTTTTGAAAGATTTGTTAATTAAGAAATTTTTGAAAATAAATGTAACAATATCATTCTGAAAAAGTTAATCAAAATATTAATATACTATTATAACTTAATTAGAAGATAAATAATAATTACAATAATAATTCAAACACTTTTTAGTTATTAATATATAATTATACAAGAAAAAAGTCAGCAAATTTTCTAAAAGTCTTAAAAATATATAAAACTAAAACAATGTTCAAATATATGTATGAAGATATATTAATTGAATATTTTGGATATAATGGAATATATTAATGAATTGCAACAAAATATTAATAAAATAGATAATATTATCAAAGATTTTGTAAAATCTTATTCTGTTTATCAACTTACTAAAACTATAATAACAAAAATATTTTTATATCTTATTAAAATTGAATAATCTTTTGAAAGAATAATTATTAATTTAGTGAAATTCTGTATTGTTAAAATACAAGAAAATTAATATATTGTGATAATAATTGATTATTTTACTTATTGGTCTAAAGTTAGAGTAATATTAAATAAACAAGTAATTACAATTGCTAAATTTATCTTTGAAAAAATAATTTGTTAACATGAATATCCAAAAGAAATTCAATTAAATAATGAAATTGAATTTGTAAATAATATTATCAAAGAACTAGTAAATCAATTCAATATTAAATAAAAGTTTTCTTTATTATATCATTCACAAACAAATGAAATTATTAAAAAATTTAATAAAACAATATGCTCAGTACTCCAAAAATATTGTATTATCTTTGAAAATAATTGTGATTAATATATATTAACAGCTTTATTTGTTTATAGAACACTCAAAAATTCAATAATAAAACATGAATTTTTTTTGACTTATAGAAAAGATACATAATTTCCAATAAATAAATTATAACCAATTGAAAATTTAACTGAAGACCAAATTCTACAATAAATTTTTAATATAATTGACAAGTTAACAACAGTACAAAATGAAACAAAGAAAAATACAACAGAAAAACAACAAAGAACCAAACAAAAACATGATTCAAAGATATAAAACATAAAAAAATTTCATTATGTATTGTTATACAATATGAAACAAATTTCAATCACAATGGAAACCAGAATAATATTATATTCATGATAATCTTAAAAATGAAACATTGACTTAGAAATCAACAAGATCAAATGATCAAACAACCCATAAATGGAAAACAGCTCAAACAGTATCATGATTGCAAAGATTACTTTGAACCAATAATAATAATTGAAAGAGAACACTAACATTATTGTGAAACCAACATGATGATATATGGTCTTTATTTAACACTAAAATAAAATAAAATTTACAACGATTAAACGCGCGTTATCGTTTGATTGTCGTCTTCGTATCGGCTATTTGGATTATTTACATATAGTGCAAATTGTATTTTGTTATATATGGCGTGTTTTCGATGTATGAGGATTATACAGAAGACATGTATTTTTCGGTGCGGATGTTAAACACGATTCTGGTACATAATTCGTTGGCTATTCAGCGTCGGATAGGTATGTCATCGAACATCTACAACGATATATCGCCATTAAAATAACCCACGATTCGGAATTCATTCGCATCGATATAATAAAACAACGCAGCAACAAACGGAATATACGGAGGAAGATGAGTACTCCACAACAAACTCGGATTCGGAATATTACTTTGAAAACGCCGAGTACTACGACTCGGATTAATATAAATGGTCATCGAATTTAAAAATAACCCAGAAAAAGAAAAAACGCGCACATATAACATCGTGTGTTGTCGGTGCAGATATTTAGTGATATCGTGGAGGAAGAACAGCGATATCATCGTGAAATTGAATAATTGTTTACGTGATAAGTTTCGCGCGTTGCGATTAATTTCCCGTTACATGTTGAGTATTTTTAGAACTTCGAAAAATTACTCAGTTATTTGGAGCATATGCTTGACAAAGTATTAGCATAGAAGAATCAGCTGAACAATAATTTTAGTTTATATTTTACTTATTACTTCATATTTTTCGATAGAGCTCAAGGAATATGTTACAATTTTTTATATTACTATTAGTATACTTTTATCTGAGGATAAAAGTATATAAGTCTGGCAATGTTGAGACAAAATTTAGATAGCTTTTTTTTATCAAGATTTAAGCACCGTAGACCATTTCGAAATTGCAAGTTTTTCGGAGGGATAATTAAAAAAAGACAGGTGTAGGATTTTTTTCATTATTAAGAATTCGAACTCTGATAATTGCATGATTGATGGGAAAAAGAAACCGATCACTTTGAATAGAACGTAAATTTTTTCCTGATCTCAGAGCTGTAGTTTTTTCTTCCCGATATTTACTTGTTGCTCTGAAAAATTCATTGGATGAGGGAGTAATCAAAGCTGGAGAGATTCGCTCAAGTGGCTAGACATTTATGTTTTCATTTTATTTGTTTTTTTGTGAATTTTTTACCAGTAAAATACACAAAACAAACCCGGTTATTGATGATACAAAAAGCAAGTTATACATAACGATAACGATGATAATTCGGCGAAATTAGTTTCGCCTGAAACATTAGATATTAATTCAGTTGGGTAGCCAGTTCCTGAATTTGGTTCAAACCCGATTATGAAACAGGTTTATTGGAACTGTTTCTATCATTGGTTCAAACCAGTAAACTATCTGTTGCTGTTGCAACTGTAATAATTGTTGTTGCTGCTACGAAGAAGACTGCTAAAAGCTTGTAAAAAATATTTATCCGATGAAAGCAAACCTGTAATATTAGAACATCAGGTGATTTTAAAAAAATCCGATTTTTATTTCGATAATATTGACAATTTCCTCGATATAACGGTTTTTATAATAAATTCTCTATATAACGATATTTACAGAATTTTTACTAATTATCCCCGACCTATCGTTATATCGAGTTTTGACTGTAGATGCAATATTTTATAATGAAATACCTGATTCTGATGGGGGTATGATTTACGAGTGTCTCGTCAAAAAATCGCACGCTCATTCACTTCGGCCTTCCTCGTCTTCCGAGAAAGGCCAAAATAGTGGTTGTTACTTTAATGATTCCAATAAAAAAATGCAGAATGTTTTTTACGAAATATATTTTGCTGGAAGTTTGAACACATCTAATATATTAGTATATTTGAAATGCAGAAGTTATTTTGACACCTATCAATAATGATGGGGATGACAATTACGAATGCCTTTTAACGACAACAGATAATGTATTGAGACATTAGCAATCTAGAAAAGCAATTATTTTATTTTTCCCCGGACGAAAGTAACAAAGAGGGAATAATAGCAATTCAATATTTATTTTGTATCAACAGGAATTGATATACTTTAATATTTATAACACTATTCCGCTCACGTGAACGCATCAACGGACAAAACTTCCAATTCTTGAATTCAAATTTCCGCATCGTGAAATTAGTTTTGATTTGTTTTGTCTGATAAATCAGACACTATCCATTTTTACAATGTCTTATTTCGAATCGTGCATTACTCCAGACACCTGTTTATGAATAACTTGTACCCACAAAAACTAACAAAGTTAGTTTCTTTGAGCACACTCTGAATCAACGAGTGATCTCCCTGAAGCGGTGAGATATTTTAATTAATCGGGTATATTAATTCTTTTTCGTAGAAATTTTCCATTTTCAATTGTTTCAAAAGCAATATTTGTATTTTGAACTCGAAATTTAAATTTAGCATAATGCCTTATATGTTAGTAAGAACTTCCACTCACAATAGACTTCTTAATGTTCCAAGGGTAATTATTAATATAATTCCCTTATTCTTCGTGTGAGTGGCATATCAGATACGGTGCTGCTGATTAAAGCACATGAACGTAAATTTCCATGGCGACAAAGTCAAATTTTATTGCAACACAGCTGTGTTCGCTTCGGCTTTTTCAAACGCTTACCTATTTGTAATAGCCGTGGCATCTCACATATTTACGGTTTCAGCTTTGGCATTGGAAAAACCAATCGGAAACGAGAATTCACTCTATTTAAAGAAGCATTCAGCTCCGATGTTCCAAGATTTCACGTCGTCCTAGGACCCCTCCCCCCCCCAGTACTGGAAAAACTGCCTTGGTCCACGAGGTAGTGAGTAAAGGCAATTTCAGCCCGACTGCCGTGCAGGACGATTTGACACAAAAAAACGTGTACGATTCGATTTCCATGCAATTCAAGAAACAAAAGGATCTTCTGATGTAAGTCATGACAAGCATTCAACACCATGCTGAATGGTCCAGTTTACAGTTAATGCACAAACTCCGATTACTACTGAAAATGTTAATAAATTGCTTGCAGATATTTCCGAATTGGAACTTTTGGAGAGGTCACAATATATCCCCCGCCTATTTTGATCATCGACAAGGCAAACATGTTCTGTCAACTTGGTGAAGAAGCATTCCTTCTCAAGTCGTTCCTTAACTTGCCGGTGATGAATACGAAACAAGAGTAACGCTTCCACGCGGTACTCACCTCTTTCGATTCATCTGGGTCGTGAAAAGTATTTATTTACTTGGTAGCAACATGATGGTATAATCTATCTCTAATCTTACTACACATTTGTTGCCGATAGTTTTGCATAAGCAAGACATGTAGGGCAAGTTTATTTTATTTTAATGAATATAATGAAACTGCAATTGTAACTATATAGACGAAAAAAAATGCCAAGAATACATTCTAACTAAACTTAGACTTTTACGCTTCAGAAGGCATTCCATTGCGCGCACTGATGATTGGTTCATCGGGGGGGGGGGCGAGAACTGTTTCACCTGTTGGTGGGTCGATGAGGTCACTGGAAAATCGGTGGGTTGGTCGGGGTGTAGAACATTATAATCAACAAGCGATTGCTTCAATCAAATTTTGCTCGGGGATGAATCCTTGATTCTCCGCCTCCACAATGGCTTCCATAGTTTTAATGAAATCTGAATTCTTCCAGAGTAGTGCACAAGGCTTGTCTGGGGACTTTATAGTCTAGGATACGTTAATACGTGAAAAATTTATTGTTTTTTTTTCTATATGTTGAATCATCTTTACTGGTGTCGCTGTTATTATTGCCATCATCATTATTGTCATAATCCTCTTCATAACTTTCAATTTCTTCGTCGTCACCTTCGATTTCTTCATCTTCACTCTCGCTTTCTTTAGTTTTACCTTCATCTTCAATCAAATAACCTACATTTCTTTCTTTAGCACGATTTCCAATATTTAGTAGTACGTAAAGTTTGAATATAATGGTAAATGCATTTGCGATATTGCTGGATGTCTTTTGTTCAAACATTAAGTATCAAGTCCCATCTTCTACAAGGGAAAAATCCCAATGCATACCTTCAAGCTTTCTTCCGTGAATTTTGCATTCATCGACATACTGATTGATAATAAACATGCGGTCGAATTGGCCCTCGAGTTCTTTGCATTCTGTTCCAGACAAGTTATCCTGAAAATTCAATAAAAGACGCACTATATTGAGGAAGCAAATGATTTTCAAAAATTCCTCAGCTTCCTACTCCAATCACCAACAACATATGGCGTTACATGTGGATATTCAACTGTGATGATTTTATCAACCGTGAAGTCCGACTAGCAGACAAAAATTATATTTATCAGATCATGTGATTCCGTGAACGTTGTTATATATCACGTAAAGCGGACTTTAATACTCTGAATTTGAGACCAGTGAATTTCGAAATTGTATCTGCACTATATGATGAATCCACTTATTTTTTTCATTCCTATCTTACCAAACAATATATATACCGCCCTAGGCTTCTGAGTCTTCTTGCGCAAATTTTCCTTCGTGATGCCTTAAAGGTGTGGCATAATTTCATTGTAAATTCATTTCTAGTTGTTGGATCGGTAAACCCCTTGTCATTATTCATAATATTCTCAACCGTTTTTTCGAATCTTTCTGTATAATAATACCAACACCGAATTTCTACTTGATATACTTATTTGCTTTCTAATGGAGGCGGGCGAGACTGAATCATCACCCTCGTCATCGTCAGCTTCGGCGGGCTCCTCTTTGGTGAGTGTAGACAGTTCTATTATCAAACCCTGTAGTTTTATTATAAACTTGAATAGCATGTTGTCGAATTGAATCATATCAGTATTAATATTGATAGATTTTTAAATATATATCATAATCGAATTATTTGAATAAAAGCGTTGGCTAAATTGGTTTGTTCTTCTACCATAAGAATTGCTGTTTTAATTGGCTGAAGGATTTTTGATAAGGTTGTAATTTCATCGTAAAATATACACTTTTTATCTGGCTCATGGATGATGGTTTTCGAGATGAGCATTGGTGATGTCATTCGTGTTGATTTGGGGATCCAATGCAGTGTACATCATCACCATTGAATTTGTTTTGGTATAATATAGAATTAAAAGTAGAATCGATGTTCTCTTCGCTTGCAAGGCTTCGCTCGTCCGGTAACATGACAACGTCCGAGCGCGATACTTCATTGTCTTTCGTGCTTGGGCTTTGTTGGGCCGGTTGAATGAGATCATTATTATTGTCGGAGATGCTAGCAGGTGCTGGTCTCGATCTTTCGACTGCTTTTTTCCTAATAGTTTCAATGCGCTTCTGTCTGCATGCTATATATCTGAACACATGTTCGATGGAGCATATGTCCACAGGCGAGTATCGTGAACGCAAAGAATGATTTGAAAACCAAGTTATTAAATAGCTTTGGGCACCAACTACTATCATAGCTGATATGTTAGCGTTGTCGTTAGGATATTTGAGTGTAAATCTGTTCGGAATCGCGACCGGGTTATTTTTGTCATTAACGAAATAAATGAAGTGGAACCGAAAGAATTTACCTGTGTCAATCATAGCACTTATTCAATGTCGGTATATTGATACCATCCTCGAAAGTACTAAAAATCTGATTACAGATGAGTTTTTTAATAATTGGTTTTTTGCTTGTCTGTTTCACGAAAAATGACCCCGGTTTATTCTGATGTTAATTTTTCTATGGTGCAAACCATTTATACTCATCAAAAATGTAGATCAGTCCGAAATTTTAAATGACGATCTTCACGTGTCCTT